GTTCAGAGTTATCTTCAAACACCACAAAACACTTCTCATGTTCATGGTCAACCTACGCAGGAACAAGTATATTTTTTTTATTTTATTATTTATGAAATAATGTAAAAGTTACATTTGCAAAATTATGCTCAAACAGGAATAACCATGAATGGTAATATGTTATAAATATTCACTCTGTGCAAGTTCCAACTTGTTTTGACCATAGTATCCAAGCACATATATAAAATACACACTGCCTGTGGCACCAGAGAATATAGGTCAGTTGAGGTCATTGGGAAAAATAAACAGGCAGCCTTTCGGCTGAGATAGATCTTCTGTTAGCAATGCTCATCTCAATTAAAGAACTGAAGATATCATTAGATAATTGAACAATATGTATACTATCAAAACAAATAGACTTGCTGTTTTCAACAAGAAATCAAAAATATAATTTTTTACTAAAAATGACAAAAATATTCATCAAAATTAGATAATTGAATATATCATCATGAAATGAACAAATCTGAGAGAGGTCTACCTGTAGTACCTATATATGTAATATCAAAGCAATTGGACTTGTGGTTTTCAACAAGTCAAAAATATCACTTTTTACCAAAAATGACAAAAATATTCATTAAAATTAGAGAATTGAAGATATCACGAAGTGAACAAATCTGACAGACGACTACCCCAAAAATCTATGTTGCAAATATGAAAGCATTTGGTTCAATATTTTTGAAGAAGACAAAAATGTGAAAAGTTGACAACATACCACAGACTACACAATCAGAAATATGAAGAGCTAAAAATTGAGCTATTTGATACAAGATTGAAAACTACCATAATGCATGAAGAATTAATTAAAAAAATGTGTAAAAACTATAATTGAGAGATGATATTTGCAAATTATGACATGAATAAAATTGGTAAAGAGGATCTCAGTTTTACCTTTTGAATTGTACCCAGATAGAACAGTCCATCAGACCATCTAGCAAGAACATCTAAACCAATTGAAAATTTCGGTTCGGATTTCCCGGGACTTGATTCGCCATCACCATCTGTTCCATCCATTATTCTGCTTAATAACAAAGTTATACATGTTAGAACAATGTGTGTAACCTGTAAAACTTGGAATCAGCAGGTAAACTGGTTTGGCAGCCATCTTAGATTTAAGTTAAACAAGTCATGCACGGCACAGTCCCTGTTAGTTATCAAATTTAAGATATATAGATTTGTATATAGTAATATACATGTAGCTGGAATATAACCATGTCAGGAATATGATTATGATGATTGTTTAACATTAAAATGATTGACATTTGTATCTGATCGTCAAACGAGTCCACATTGAGAGATATTGATCTGGAACAGCATTAAATAAAACAAGCCATGCATGGCACAGTCCCCGTTAGTTATCAAATTTAAGATATATAGTTTTGTTTTATAGTAATATAGCTGGAATATAACCATGTCAGGAATATGATTTTTTAACATTAAAATGATTGACATTTGTATCTGATTGTCAAACAAGTACTTGTCCATATTGAGAGATATTGCTCTGGAACAGCATTCAAAATCAGCAATTTTGAATACATGTATATATATATATAACATGATGTATAACGAATATATAAAATTTGAATATAATCAGTCAAAGCATTTATGAGATATGGCTCTAGAACCCCAATCATTAAAGCAGAATTGCCATCAGTCAGCCATTTTGAATCCAATCTGAAAAATAAAATGACGTGCATCAGGAACCTGTCTAATGTATGTACCAAGTTTGAACGAAATCCATCCATAAATACCAGAAATGCTTGATAAATGATGACTTTTTAGCACAAAAATGACCACCATTGAATAGGATCGTCAAACCAATATATCTGTCTATGACATCATGTATAATGAATATTTCAAATTTGAATATAATTAGTCAAAACAAGTCGGAGATATGGGATCTAGAAGCCCATTCATTAAAACAAAATGGCCGCCAGACAGCCATTTTGAATCCGATCTGAAAAATAAATGATGTGCATCAGGAACCTGTAATGTCTAATATATGTACCAAGTTTGAACAAAATCCATCCAGAAATGCTTGATATTTGATGATTTTTTTAGCACAAAAATGGCCACCATTTGGCCATTTTGAATAGGATCGTCAAACCAATATATCTGTCTATCTATGACATCATGTATAATGAATATTTCAAATTTGAATATAATCAGTGAAAGCAAGTCAGAGATATGACACAAGAGCCACATTCATTAAAACAAAATGGCCGCCAGTCGGCCATTTTGAATCTTAGCTGAAAAACAAAATGAAGTGCATCAAGGTCCTATAATGTCTAATGTATATACCAAGTTTAAACAAAATCCATCTGTAAATAGCCGAGAAATGCTTGATTTCGATGATTTTTAGCACAAAAATGGCCACCATTCGGCCATCATGAATCAGATCGTGAAACAAATTGATGTGCATATGTATAATATCATGTATGATGTATGTGTGAAGTTTGATTGTGATTGGTCCAGGCATTTCTAAGATACAGGTCCGGACGCACACACAGACGCACGCACGGAGGTCAAAACATAAGTCCCCGTTTTCGGACTGCGTCCGAACGGGGACTAACAAGCTTTATTTGTACCTTGCTTTTAAGAAGTACATTTAATTTACAAAGGTACATAGGTAGTACAATGAAATTGTTTTTTTTCATGATTGGATAGAAAAAAGCGAACTACAAATACCGGTACTCCAAGATTTTTTTGACATCATTAAAAAATAAAATCGTTTTTGTAGGATGGAAACTTTTTTTAGGTCAACCCCACCCCCACCCCCAAACTAAAGCAAATAAGTTTGTTATCCGACATAAATCTTTTGACGTCTTCCCTAAACAATAAGAAATTATTGAAAAATACCGAATATAGTACAGTGGCCCCTCGCTAAGTCGTGGGTGTCGGGATCCAAGCAAAAACCGCGACTTATCGAGGGCCGCGACTTACCGAGGAACATCATGAAACCGTTCTTGAAGAAACGTAAACAGCTTTATGAATGTCACCATTGTCGGACAATTTCGCACGTTTTTCTATTCAGTACTTAATTCTCGCATATATCTCATTTTTAATTACATTGAATAAGAATATTATATCACAAAAGTATAATAATTATAATCTTCCAAAATGTTGGATGTACTGGATAATTTATCAGTTTTTAACTATTTTAAGACGAACTATTCCTTGAACTAAAAAAAGACAAATTAAAATAAAAAATTTACAAGATACATAATAATATTCTGATAGGAATGTGTCCTTTAACCATTTCTCAGACTTGTTTTGACCAGGTCTGTTGAAAGTAGTTACAAAGACAATACATGATGTATAATAAATCTAATTAAGTGTCTGGCCATCTCTTTTACCACCAAGAGAATTATTACCAGTCATGGGTATTTTATTGACGGGACCTTGCTTGCCATTTTAGAAAAAGGTTATTGATTTGGGTATCTTATTGACTTGTAATTTAAATGTCAATAAGGCATTTAGAATGCCTGGTTTTATAAAACGTGTTCTGCATATTAAAGGTGGTGGTCGTCGCACCGTGCATGTGCAACATTGTGTTGATAAACATTGATTTTTTCCACAATCAAATGCGCTCTTCTAACGAAATCACGATTATGAGTTTTGACCTGGGTGCGATTTGCACTAATTATTGTGAATGAATCCTTCAATACCTTCCAATCACAAAAAAAAATACCTAATTAAAGCTTGGTAACTTCTCAGTTTGTACTCGTTTGTCTGTCCAACATTCAAACACGCCATCTTTGTTTATACATGGAGATGAGACCCATATCTTGTGTATGCCTGGCTTGACGGTCACCGCTCTTTAAGTTATTCGTCACACTTTACAATTCCTATGTCAAGACACTTCTAGAATACTGTTCAGTGGTTGTAGTTTCCTTGGCAGAAATCACGAATTGATTATTTTGAGCATGTGCCAATTTATAAATAGATTCTTCTATAAGTAGAAAAAGTATTCAGGGATTTTTTCAGTTCCTTTAATGTCGCGAGCATGTCTTTTTAGCGAATTTAGCGAGAGAACTGATTCGCTAATTCAAGATGTCGCTAATGACTTTATTATAAATTCAAAATGGGGCTTGGGGATCTGTATACAGCAATCCGGAACATAAAATTCTGGGGCGCTTCCTAATTACACTTGACAGTTTTTCTTTGTTTTTATCGAGGTGATAACTTCGCATTTGTTTTGGCACGAGACAGACAAGTATTGTGAAAACAGGAAATCAACACAATGACAAGAGAGATTCACTAAATCAACATTTCGCAATTACGTCATTTTACCACATTTCGCTTTTTCAACATGTTTTACAGTACTTTGATATTATACATATAGGTACTATAGGTGGATCTCCCTCGGTTTTGTTCATTCTATGATGATATCTTTAATTTTGATGAATATTTCTGTGGGATATGTCTTGTACATTGTCCTTGTATAAATTTTATTAATTATTCTTGTATTGTTTCAGAGTATTTATTGTATTTTAATTGGAGTCTGTAAAGCTATCATCGGCACATTACGTCTTTAAAATAAATAAATAATATATAATGGTATTTGATTTGTTTTATGTTTGAGGATTTTTGAATGGTGGCTATTTTTGTCCTCAAAATATTCATCAAAAATGTCATAAACCATTTCTCTGGCATGCCTTGGTCAATTTCATTCAAACATCACACATGATGAGTTACTAATGCGCATAATTTTATTTTAAATGTATTTTTAATTTGTTTTATTTGATTTCATTTTGTCGACAGAGGAGAGCTACTCACTCATATTACTGATTGTCTGTCGTTGTCAACGTTACATTCTTCAATTTTATAGAACTTTTATAGAAAGTGGCTTGCCTGTCATATTTTGAATTTGCTCTCCATATGATATTCGTGAAAATTTCCAATTATCGATGAAATAAACATTTTTTAAAAGTATTACCATATTTTGGTATACTTACTTGCAGGGTTGGTATGGCGACTGCGTCCCAATGACATTGATAATGAGATTCTCAACTACAGTCGAGTACTGTTCCGAGAAACGTTGGAGAAGGAAACTGGTATCAGTACGGGATGGATTGACAATGGTGGTTTATTTATCGCTTCAAATAAAGTTCGACTAGACGAGTACAAGCGACTACAAACAGTAAGTTTACAGAATAACACACATTTCCTCTTTGTATTATATGTAGAAGACTTTATAATACCATGAATTACTGTAATCATAATGAGAAATGATGAAATCAGTTGCTATGGCAACAAATATTGAAGCACTGAAAGCTAATGTGTACTTTTGGAAACAAAATCGTGTTCATGTCTAATCATGAACAAACCAAAAAAGCTTTTGGTTTTTTTTGTATATATACATTTCGATATTTGCAGGACTAACTTTATTTAAGGAGGCACTCCTAAATTTGATTTAAGCATCCTGTTGAATTTAATTTCACAGAAACTGTACAAAATCTAAATCCCTTGTGCTTTAATACAGGGGTCAATCTAAGGTTTTCTGTCGATAATATGTAGTAGGAATAAAACTACCTGTATCTATTTTCAGTGAATATTTTTGTTATTTTAATGACTATAATTTTGAGTAATGTAAAATAACAATATATCTCATTGTTTCTCTGACAAATTTGTGAATTTTAAAACCAGTAAAATTGCTCGAAGCATCAAAATGGGTAAATAAAATGCCAGTGAAAATAAATGGTTTTTACAGTACTGTAAAATGACTAATTTTTATTGGGTTTAAATTTCCCTGATTTACCATTAAAGGTTTCATTTACCATTCAGCTTTAAATTCATGGTTTTATCATTTAGATAATGTGTTCTATGCTAAATTTTACATATTCACTGGGTTTTAATTTAGCACATTTTCCAGTCATCGAAATAAGCAAAATTAAAACCCAGTGAATAATTAATCCTTTTACAGTATGTTATTTTTCACCTAAAAATCCTCAAGCATGTGTTTTTGACCACCTTCATATAAATACCACCCGGCCATATTGATTACTTTTTATGTTAAACTCCATAAAAGGAATATGAATGGGAAAATACATTTATATTGCCCTGAACATCCATAATTATTTAGAGTGGCATTAATTAATTTTTCCCATCTTTATCAATTATAAAATAATCAAATTTAGGTAGTCCCAATGCAATTTATATGTAATTTGACCTGTATTTGAAGACCATTTATACAATGTGACCAGTGACAGTTTTGGCAATGGTTTGGTCAAATAAACCTGTGCACAAAAACTAAAATGATGGAAGATGATCTCATACATAAACTTTTACACAAGTCTATTCACTGACGTTTTCAATTTACTTGAGACAAACAAACTTGTATATTTATTTGTTTTAAATCGGAAGGGTCGTCACCTGCGCACACAAGAGAATTGAGTCCCAAGCGACGATAACAACACACGCTAAAAACACAAAGGCTCATCATGGGTAGACGCTTGTTTGTAAACAATGACACGCTATGGCCATCTGACACATGCGCAGGTGACGACTCCCTCGCTTTAATCTTCAAATATTCGTTGACAAATTACCTCTTAACCTGAGAAATTATTGTTATATTTTAATTTTCAAAATAATTAATTAACCCCAATTTAAATTTAAAAACCACCTGTTCATAAACATTCTTTGAGTACCTTGTGTGCTAGCTTGGTTATTTCCTATTATTTTGTGGGTAGATGCCTTTAATTTTCTCATTGTAGCTTTGTGTTTGCCTTTCAAGTAGGTATACATGATAGATATTATGGCTAGCAATGGACTGACTAAATGGTGGACTTGATGACTTACCCAGACCCTGAAATCCACAAATAGTCTGTCTGTCATCAAAACGTTTGGTGTTCTGTTGAAGCATAATGATGTAAACCATCACAGTTTGTTTTCACTAGATGTGTATGTTCTTGTTTTAGCTAGGGAAACCATTTGGGATAGAATCACATGTGCTGACACCACAAGAGAGTCTGAAGGTGTATCCACTACTGAATATTGATGATCTCTATGGAACTCTGTACAGTCCAGGGGATGGCACGGTGGACCCGGCTGGATTGTGTACAGCACTCACTAAGGCGGCTACAACTGCTGGTGCCACGGTAAGTTTAATTTTCTCAATATATGCGTTTTTGGTTTTGATCTATTCTAGTGGATTGTTACAGTAATGTGTTGGATGGTTACAGTGCTGTAACAGATTGTTACATTGCTGTAATAGATTGTTACAGTGCTGTATTGGACTGTTACATTGTTGTAATGGATTGTTACAGTCTGTGCTGTAATGGATTGTTACATTGATGCACTGGACTGTTACATTGTTGTAATTCATTGTTACCATGCTGTAATACATTGTTACATTGATGTACTGGACTGTTACATTGTTGTAATGGATTGTTACAGTGCTGTAATGAATTGTTACATTGATGTAATGGTTTGTTACATTGTTGTAATGGATTGTTACAGTGCTGTAATGAATTGTTATATTGATGTAATGGTTTGTTACATTGTTGTAATGGATTGTTACAGTGCTGTAATGAATTGTTATATTGATGTAATGGTTTGTTACATTGTTGTAATGGATTGTTACAGTGCTGTAATGAATTGTTATGTTGATGTAATGGTTTGTTACATTGTTGTAATGGATTGTTACAGTGCTGTAATGAATTGTTACATTGATGTAATGGTTTGTTACATTGTTGTAATGGATTGTTACAGTGCTGTAATGAATTGTTACATTGATGTAATGGTTTGTTACATTGTTGTAATGGATTGTTACAGTGCTGTAATGAATTGTTATATTGATGTAATGGATTGTTACAGTGCTGTAATGAATTGTTATATTGATGTAATGGTTTGTTACATTGTTGTAATGGATTGTTACAGTGCTGTAATGAATTGTTACATTGATGTAATGGTTTGTTACATTGTTGTAATGGATTGTTACAGTGCTGTAATGAATTGTTACATTGATGTAATGGTTTGTTACATTGTTGTAATGAATTGTTATATTGATGTAATGGATTGTTACAGTGCTGTAATGAATTGTTATATTGATGTAATGGTTTGTTACATTGTTGTAATGGATTGTTACAGTGCTGTAATGAATTGTTACATTGATGTACTGGACTGTTACATTGTTGTAATGGATTGTTACAGTGCTGTAATGAATTGTTACATTGATGTAATGGTTTGTTACATTGTTGTAATGGATTGTTACAGTGCTGTAATGAATTGTTATATTGATGTAATGGTTTGTTACATTGTTGTAATGGATTGTTACAGTGCTGTAATGAATTGTTATATTGATGTAATGGTTTGTTACATTGTTGTAATGGATTGTTACAGTGCTGTAATGAATTGTTATATTGATGTAATTAATGGTTTGTTACATTGTTGTAATGGATTGTTACAGTGCTGTAATGAATTGTTATATTGATGTAATGGTTTGTTACATTGTTGTAATGGATTGTTACAGTGCTGTAATGAATTGTTACATTGATGTAATGGTTTGTTACACTACTGTAATGGATTACTTTCCATTCATGATTTACAAGAATACTAACTTGAATTTGAGTTCTGTAGGGAGTTGGAAATACATGTATACAAATTGATACAAATTTTCACGTCTTCATTTTACTTCTGCATATTACTGACATGTGAATTAACCAATCAAGAGTTGTTTGATTTCAGGTGTTAACAAACTGTCCTGTCACCGGTATTGATGTTAAGGAAGATGACCTTGGTGTGAAGCGAGTGAAGGGTGTTCATACTGTATCTGGTACTATACGAACACCCCTCGTGGTCAACTGTACAGGTACTATAACAAATTTCAATTGTTAGTCATCTTGTAATAAATAATTTTATAGCGTTATTTTTCTATTCCCCAGTATTTTGGTACAAGTTTTTCCATATTTTTTTCTGTGTGATACGTCTTTCTTGAACCTTACATACTGATGTTTTTTTTAGCTAAAATGTGAATAAAGAAATTGATTTACTTGTGAAACGATATAAAACAATGATGGTGGTTGTCTTTAAATGATGTATGCAAAAAACATTTAATTTAAAGAGTGTCAGTGCCATTCTTATTTTACTGTGTTTTAACTCTAGGTGTGTGGGCGCCGATCTTGGGTGCAATGGCAGGAGTTAAAGTTCCCCTCGTCGCTATGAAGCATGCCTATATTGTAACAGAAAGAATCGATGGTATTCGAAACATGCCCAACCTGAGAGACCATGATGCTTCAATTTACCTGAAAGTGCAAGGAGATAGTCTATCCATTGGTGGTTACGAACCTAATCCAGTGTTCTGGGATAAGGTATGTCAATAGTGCCCTCAAACGTTCATATTATTGAAACTTTTGTTTTTAAGTTGTATCAATAGCGCCATCTAGAGTTCATATTATTGAAACTTTTGTTTTTAAGTTGTGTCAGTAGCGCCATCTAGAGTTCATATTACTGAAACTTTTGTTTTTAAGTTGTATCAATAGCGCCATCTAGAGTTTCTTTGTTGAAACTTTGTTTAAAGAACATTATTAATAGCTGTCGCTGGGTTATTAGTCATTTCTCTTTACTTAAAGCTAGAGGGTCGTCACCTGCGCACGCGCGGGAATTGAGTCCCAAGCGACGATAACAACACACGCTAAAAATGCAAAGGCTCATCATGGGTAGACACTTGTTTGTAAACAATGACACGCTATGGCCATCTGACGGTTGCGCAGGTGACGACTCCCCCGCTTTAATATTGACTTGACTACAATTGCTGATTGTTTAATCCTTATAAGTAACAAATGTCTAGGATTTGATCGCTACATAAATCTTTATCAGTGGACTAAACCTAGTCTCTGTTCATACGTCTTAGTTATTGACTTTTACAGGTGGAGAACGAGTTTGCTTTCTCATTGTTCGACCTGGATTGGGATGTCTTTACACAGCATGTTGAGGGCGCTATGAACAGAGTGCCAGTTTTAGAGACCACTGGTATAAAGTCAACTGTATGTGGGCCAGGTAGGTCACGTAGCATGGCTTGTATCACTGCCTTAAAGCGAAAAACTAATGACAAACGAACACTGCTCTTTGAGAAATTAAAATCCTTCCTTCCTTTAATAAACCTTTTGAATGCTAGACTTTTGTCCCTATTTTGAAAAACAAATTGGATGAATGGTTGGTTTGGTTCAAAATCCAAAGTACAGAAAAGTGTACAAAATTTTGTACCAATCTTTGGTGGGAAAAATTGTAAAAGAAATGAGCAATGATGAAAAGTCAGTTTGCATTTTAGTTGAAATATGACAACCCCCCTGTTCAATGTCTATTTCTTACCATGTGAGATAACTTTTGTAGCTTGTATTTAGTTATTGACATCACTGATACACATTAAATTGATAAACAAAATGTAATACAGATG